GCCTACCTGAGTGTGGTCCGCTAGCACAGTATCAACAACACTTAGGAGTTTGTTAGAAATGTAAAATTTCACTTTTCCTCAGACAAATAGCATCAAAATCATTTAATAAGAAATGATATCCACGCACATTAAGGCTGGGAAACGGTACTATTCTGCCTTCCTCAAACTAAGGATCCCTTTCTAGCTGTAGCAGTTGGAAATCTGCAGTATTATCTTTTAAGTTAGCTTCCAGTTGCAGCCTAGGTCAACAGCCAGCACTCACAACTGCTGTGTAATAGGTGCTGCTCTAAGAAGTTTTTATGTGTCACTAGCTCATGTGATCACCCAATAATCCTATGCAGGTGATATGAAACTAACTCACTTAAAGTTCAGTAAATGAGTGTGAACCTAGGCATTCTTGATCTAGAATCTGTCTAATTATATTTCTAATGATAAATCATGAAGGACATACAGCTCACTCTCTCCACTTTTCTGTAGAGATGATCTCATGTAGGACTTTGGTAAACCTTGTTAGGTAGAGTGAGGTGGAGTTTCCTTTATTTATTTACCTAAGTATCTAGAGCCAGAATTGTTATTTGGAAAATTTCAGGCACTGCAAAAGACAACAAATACAAGTAAGGCATTATCATTTACAAGGAAGCAAAAGCATTCTCATCTATGTACTGCATGAAAAAGAATTGAGTCTAAGAAAGCTTAGTATTTATTAATATTAGCATAAAAAGTCAGAAAGGAAGTTAAAACTAGGTATATAAAAGTACATAAAAACCAATAGCTAGAAACCAGTAGCAAAAAAAGTATGAAAAATTATTTTAAAAACTTAATGCAGATTTTAGTATTTATGTAAAAGTACACATGGATATATGTATACAACCTAGTACTTTATTACTGTAAAATATAAAGCAGAGGAGAAAGTAAGATATTTCAATGATAGGAAAAAAATTAGCTCCACATCTCACACAACACATGAAGTAAAAATAGCTGGAGACAGAGCTCAGTGGTAGGGCACCTGCATAGCACGCCCAAGGCCCCAGGGTTAATCTCTGGTATGGTGACCAACAACTCTTCAAAAAAACAGATTAAATATAAAGAGTAGAAAAGATACATGCATACATGTGAAAGAAAATACAGGAGGCTATTTAAATTATAGGATTAGAAAAAAATTTAAAACAATGTTTATATATGCATATATTTGTGTGTTCATGTGTAGTATTTGTGTATGAAATTACCCAAAAAGTACGTTTGACTAATAAAAATTTAAAGCATTTCTATATCAAGAATATCATAAGTAAAACTGTAAAGAGCAAGCAGGAAAGATTTATAATAAATGTGAAATAAAGGATGAATATCCCTATAGTGTCAAAGAACATAAAAGAAATAAAAGTGCCAAACAAATATGTGGTTTAGTAAATCCAACAAGAAAATCATTTTTGTGCTTACCAAAATGGTAAAGATTAACCTATATGTTGTATGTTAATTGCTGGCATGTGTGGTTTCCAAGTGGTATCCTCACATACCAGTAGTGGATATGATCTCCAATACAACTCTCCCTGAGCTCAATTGTTTGTGATGTTTCAAGGCTCCCTAATTTGTTCAGTGACCTAGCTCTTCCATTTCTAGGAATGTTTTTCAAGGTACTATAGTAGTGTGAAGATTTATAATTCAAGATTTTTCTTACAGCATTATTTATAAAAGAAAATTTGAGGCATTTTAAACATGGTCGGGGACTGTGCCATTAAATAGTCTTAAAAATAGTTTTTACAAACAATAGTCTTGTAATATTGGAAGATAACTTAAAGTATATGAAAGATTTAAAATCTATTGAAACATGCTTATATATATATATATACATATATATATATATACACACACATATATATGTGAATATACAGAGATGGGGCTACATCAAATGTGTGATACTTCTCTTATAATCATGAAGAGAGATCTTAACTGTTGGTACATGCCTGTACTCCCAACCTCAGGAAACTGAGGCAGGAGGATGAAGAGTTTGAAGGTAGTTTGAACATAGGAGTTCAAAGCCTCCCTAGACTACATAGGAAGACCTCTGTCAATCAAACAAACAAACTCGCATGCATCCCTCTAAAAGTCAGTTAGTGATCCTAAAGTCAATCTAGAAACACCACACTGTGTTGCCATCCGAGCAGATGCCACAGATATTACAGACATAGACTAAAAGCCCAATGATGTTCAGCCTCCCAGTCCTACAGCAGGGGCACAGATTCTTACATCAAGCCACCTGGCATTCCCCAGTATTAGCATACTTGGGTCATAAGTCTTGAACACAATTAATAACACACACACACACACACACACACACACACACACGAGTAGCCTTGTCCTGTTGCTCAGCTTCCCAGAGAGCTCCTGAAATGGCTCCTCTCCCTGGCTTTGTTCTCTTGGAGCCCTGGCTCCTACTTCAAACCTCACAAGGTTCCTTTCTCCCCAGGCTCTTTTCCTGGACTTCTTGATTTTAACCAGACATTCTTTGTCAATCATCCTGCCTGGAAAGACTCAAGCCAGAAGGATGGGAAATTCACTTAGCTTTCACTCAAACAGAGTAACAGCTAAGAACAAATTGTAGAGCGAGGCAGACAATATATTAACTATTAATAAAACATCTGTGTTAATACCAGTATATCGTATGATGTGAAACAAATACCAAAATACAGATACAATTTGACTTAGTATTATAATAAAGATGAACCATAGATAGGTTTGGCATAGCCAAAGCTTATGCAAATGCCTTCCAGGCTGAGGGAATGGTAAGGGCCTTCCAGATAGGCAGATAAGAAAAAGCTGTACAGGAAAAAAAAAAGCAGAAGTCAGGAAAAGAAACCTATTTCATAAAATTATCAGAAAAGGAAATTCTGTGAAGGGAAGAGAAACAGGAAAGGATCTGATCTGGAACACAAGCAAGATGGAGCTGCTGAGCCCCCAGGCAGGTGCCTCTGGAGCGCCTCAGCACAGCAACATCACCAGGTCCTGATCAAGTTAAGGAGGAGGGGCCTGCTGCCTCCAATTTCCTTCTAACATCCAGGAGGCTACCAAGGCTGGAGGGCTGCGTGCAAGCAGAAAGGGCAGCAGGAAGACGCCTCTGCTAATTCGTTTTGGTTCTGCTTCTGTTTGCATCATTGTTTTCATGGAAAAGTTCACTGTAAGTTCTAAATTTCCAGCTTAGGAACCAATTCAAAAATATTGGATTTGCAATAAGAGGTCTTGTGTCTTTACATCAACCAATAAAACAAAATAACAAGGAAGCATCTCCAGTGAAAATCAAAATGACTCCTTGTAATGTTTTACAGTTATGAACTTCATTTCATTCTCTCAAAAATCTTCATATGTGTAGAATTATCTCTACTATTGATACATGGAAGAGCATAACAATATTTTTAATGTAGGGTAATAGCCGGTTTTTTTGGGGGGGGAGGAGAAGGGAGGGTACTGGGAATCAAACTCAGGACCAGAAAGGATTTATCTGGGGCCAGCGAGATGGCTCAGTGGAATAAGCACTTGCCTGGCAAGGGTCTGAGTTCAATCCCTGGTTCCGCTAAAAAAAAAAAAAAAAAAGAAAGAATTTATCACATAACCTCAATTCTTGAATCAATGGGTTGTGTTGCACAAATCATATTTCTTGATAAATTCTCTTCTGGTTGTGATGTAGTAAGGAGAAGCATATTTCAGGTGTTATTTAAATGATTGTGTCTGTAGGCTTAAACAATTTGTGAGGTAAATAATGATAAAAATAACATTTTCAAGGGGTACAGGAAAATGAAATTTCATAAGCTGTCATGACATGGGAAGAAGCAGGTATGCCAAGAGCTATTTGTACCTAGGCCCCAGCTAGGGTATTTGTCATTTTTTTTTCTTTATCCTTCTTCTCTGTACTGTAGCAATTTTGGTAAGATCATAGCTAAGGTGAGGCCTACACTCTCATATGGAGTCCACAAAATCTTAAAGGTAGTATTTTATATCCTCCACAGCCATTAGAAAATTTATTTTGGAAATCTAGGTTTAAATGCACCCCTAGCTTCCCAACAGAGCCCTTACAGCTGGTTTGTTTTTTTCTTCACTTTTCCAGTTAAGCAACTAAGAGGAAACCAAGACTTATCTACTGAGTCATGCATAGAACAGTTAATGGGCAAACCCTCCAGGAAGGGAATCGTGAAGGTCTCCTATCTGCTTTGGTTCCATGTATTACACTGTCACACAGTGAACAACTATATTCCATACAATGATCAGAAGTGGTAAGCATGGGGTGTGCACTACACACTGTCATTTCTGTTTCCTAAAGAACCAGCGGAAATAACAGAAGTTATACTTTATTAATACTGTACGTATAATGACCATACCAGAGTTTGTGAAATGTGACCAAAAGAGACACATGGGGCGGGAAAAAATGAGAGGTATTGATTGTCGCCGTGGTACGGGCTGCAGTGATACTTATTTAATTCTTGCCGCTTAATGTGATTCTAAAGATCGGCTCATCTCAGGCGTTTGTGAAAGATTCGTTACTGTACTTGGTGAAAATGCATCCCGCATGCAATTCAAGTTTTATATGAAACATTTTGCTGATCTTGAAGATACCTTATGTCACAATGTCCATCCTCTCAGTGTAGACAGTGAGATCAAACCCAGAAATCTTAGAACGCTCAACTTTTACTTTACATCTGGCTGCTTAGAGGTCTTTCCCTTTGCTACCAACTGAAAACTGAAAATGTCTCGCTTTCTCACTTTCCGGTGAAGTAAGTTGCGATCGATCGTTTACCTGTGCTCGAGTAAAGCCCCTGCTGGGGCGAGCCCGGGTCCCAAGTCTTCGCGGCCTGGCCTGGGTGGCAGGGACCCGGGTCCCGGGCCGGCAAGCCGCCCCGCCCCGCGCGGCGCCGCCGGACCAGGACGCAGGCGGGGCGCCCACCCCGTCCCGTCCCGCGGGCGCTAGGGCCGCGCGGACCGGACCCCGCCGCCCGTCCGCGGTGCTCTCTCACCTGCTCCCGCTCCGCCTGCGCCCGCCCGCTAGCTCCGGGTTCTGGCTCCGCCGGGGCAGCTCCGTTCTCGTCGCGCTCTCCGCTACCGCCGCCGCCGCCCCGCAGCAGCTCCCCCGCGGAGCACATCCCGCCTCCGGCTCCCGCTGTCCCGGACGGCCGCCGGAGGGCCACGCCGCCACGCGCGAGGCAACGGCTGTAGCCCAGGCCGCCCGGGTCGGCTGCGCTAGCTGCTGACAGGAGCCGCCAGAGCGCGCCCGCGGCGAGTGCGCGAGCCCCGCCCCTCCTGTCAGCGCCCCGCCCCGCCCGGCCTCGCCTCGCCCCGCCTCGACGCTGGGGTGGGCCCAAGGCGGGGCCAATCGGGGCGGGGCCACGGCGGTGGGCGGGGTCACATCGGTGGGCGGGGCCACGGCGGTGGGCGGGCCACAGTGAGTGTAGTGGGACCCCAGGAGGCTTGTGTGTGGCTATGCGAGAAATTCGGGGAGGGTAAGGGGTTGTGTGTGAGACTATGAAAGATTGTGTATGGTGAACCTGAGCATATGGAGGAGATTGTGTCTGAGACACTGTAAGTCTACGTATGCGAGCTTGTGTGTGATTGTGTGAGACCATCTGTGCATAACTGACTGTACCTGTAGGCAGATTGTATGTGTAATCGTGTGGACGGGAGACACTGTGTGTGTGAGAGAGAAGATGGGCCTAGGAGCGTGAGAGGGAAGCTAGAGATCGTGGGAGAGAGGAGCTGTGTGTCTCAGAGTGTGGCTCTGTAGGAGACCAGGAGTGGGACAGGCCGGCGAGTGTGTGGGAGAGTGCAGCACACTCACCCCCAGCCACACAGTTACACATCAGCCGGAGTGGGGTCCTGCCTAGCCCTGGGCGCCGGAGCATGCCCCGTGCCTGTCCGCTTTTGCCAGGAGCGCATGTCTCTTCTCTCTTTCCTTCTGCCTCCTCTCCCAGAGTCTCTTTCCTCTGTTAGTGCTCCCTGGTGTGTGTTGCCCGCCGGAGCCTTAGGATTATTTGGTGACGTCTTTGATTTTGTCTGTATTTCCATAAACAGCTAAGAATATGTCTCGTTCAGTAGGTGGTAAAAGGGAACACATCCAATTTATGACTTTTATTACCCCATCTATTTTGCTAAAGGGAAATGGAGAGACATTTAAATGGATCAAAGTTGTATGTTTTTTAGCCATATATTGAGAAAATGATGGGCCCTTTGTGTCTATAAATGTTAGCCTATCAGCAGAAACTAAATATGCATAGATACAGAGAAGAATGAGAGTTATTTGGGAACTTTTGCTAAGATGTTTTTAGGCTCAGGCAAAGAATTAAAATAGGAACTTATAGGCACATTATAAAGACCTGTTTCCTATTTTTGGTAGTCAGGATTCTCCCTTCTGCTTTCTCTCACACAGCATTTCTCTCATACACACATGGTCTCTATTGCACACACGCTCTCTCACAGTGCATTGCACACATGGTCTCTTTTGCACACCCACAATCTTTTGTTCCATCTCACAAACCTAGTAGTTTCTCCCTCACTTTTAGTCTTCCTAGGAACTGGAAAATATACTTTTGGATATCACAAATGAGAAAATAAAACATTTATTTATTTATTTTTGCTCCGAATGCCTTCAAGGCATGACTGGCTGGCTTGAGTTCTGGGGATCGAACCACAGCAACCTGAGCCTGACTGCTTTGTTGAAGCAGGCACTTAAAGAGCTGAGCTAAGGGGCAGGCCCCCAGAAAATAAAACTTTTAATTCCTTCTTAAAAGTGTTTAAAATACTGATTGAGGGAGGAGGGAGAGAAAGAAGGGAAAAGGGATTAAAAGAAATAAAAGAATGGAAGGGAAAAATGAAAATAGAATTCTTGCAAATGAAGAAGGGGAAAAGGGCTGAAGGGAGAGGCGAGGGGACAAAAAAGAATGAAAATGTGTTCTGTACATGTGCAAATTCCCCATGACGAATGGGAGCATTATGTACTGTAAACACAGGCTAATTATAAAAAGGAAAGAAAATCTTAACGGACAGTACAGTATAATCAGAAACAGATGTTACCATAGGGACCCAAAACTACCCCGATAGACTTTATTTTTTTCTTCTAATGGCAATATTTTTGAAAGTTTGTTTTAGCTATTATTTCTTATTAAAAAAGACATTTTATTAAAATCTTAGAGTTAGAAGTAATGACACTAAAAACATCAGCCCTTTTCTGCTGACCCTGTGAGCTGAAGGCATATTTTGAAGCTCTCCCTCTTCTACTTGTGTCTGTTAACTTGGTACTAACTTGGTTAAGTTCAACAGTTGTATTTGCTCAACCAGGTAGAGTTTATTCTTCTTGTACAAATGAAGATTCAGAAAGCACAGAGCACATAGAGATCGGCCAGGAAGATTCAGCATGTAGCTGTGCTCAGTTTGGAGTGCTTGTAAAGAGTCCTTCATCTAGAATACACTGTCTGGTCTTTTGTGACTCAGCCCGTTCTGATTCTTCTTGTGTTCTTTCAGTATACCCACAGGTACATAATTGAACTCTGTGAGCCTTGGCTCAGATCTAGGTTCCTAATTTCATAAAACTTCCATTTTAGTCTCCTGATTCTAATCTGCTTCTCTTGACAAAAGTCATGAACTTTCATTAGAAAGTAGCCAGAACCCTTTGACCTAGAATTTTTTTCTCTTTTTATTTCTTACTTTCTGTCTTTTTTTTTTTCTTCATCTTATCTACTATGGTATGTTCCTTTTGGGAAAGTCATTCTTTGGTCTCAATTTTTTTTTGCTTGATGATCTAGAGAACTATTTTTTTCAACAAATCTAATTGTAACATGTTACATAGAATACATCATTCTGATTCCATCCAGATCATAAGCTTTAAATCATATCTTAGGGAAAGAGTGGGCTGTTTTCTCTCTTCTGTGTGGTATGAATAACACACAGAAATCTAACAGCTAGTCTCCTAGGGGAAATGTAAGATTGTTATTACCTAGGCAACTATAACACACTGGTCCCAAATTGTATGTAGTTTACTTGTGAACAAAAGTACTTACCTATGTTTCCTCAGGAAATAATAAGTGGCAAGAAAAAGATTTATGTTGAAGGAGTAACTTAGATGGTACACATATTGTTTTATACAGTTGTTGAGAAAAAAATATTTAATTCCTCCTTGATGCCTTTAACCTTAATTTTAAGGTGAATCCTTTCTTACTTCATTCATTACTACACCTTTCCAGAGAGAAAAATAAACCAGACTGACCTGTACTCACCTAACAATATAATAATAGCAAAAGATGCAGTGATTTGTGTAAACTATCTCAAGCTTCATTTTTGTTCCATTTTTGACATATTTTTAACTTTCATACAATTTTCATTTGCTTTATTCTTAGTTAGCAAACCCACTGGAATGGGGAATTATTTCTGAAATATTTGATATTTTAACCAAAATTGCAGGAAACCCTCTTAGTATAGGTTGAGTTGGTGTGGCCACCAAAGCCTGTGTGCTAAAGGTTTTCTTGCCAACTTGTGGTGGGGAGTGGTGGAAACTTCCAGAGCTGAGGTCTAGTGGAAGGAAATTAGGCCATTGCTGTGCCCTTAAATGGATACTTGGACCTGCCTTCCCTCCACTTTCCCTTTCCTGACTGCCATGAGGTGAGACGATTTTCCCCACCACACACACTCCTCAACATGCTACTCTACTTCACCACAGACTCCAAAGCAACAGAGCCAATTAGCCAAGGATAGAATCCTCTGAAACTATAAGAGAAAATCAACCCTTCCTCTGTGTAAGTTGCTTATCTTAGGTATTTTCTCACAGCAAAAGAAAGCTAACACACCTGTGGTTTGTGAATATATGTGAATACAAAGGAAGAGGAACTTACTGGAGAATTCCTATTTCTTTAAGATTCCTTAATTTTAAGGACACTGTACTAAGAAGATGCTGATCCAATGCTCTCTCAATGTTTTGTAGCCTTCCTCAGCAGAACTTTGACTAAAGAAAGAAATTTGTTCTTCTTCTTGGAATTAATTTTCATACTCTGCTTTATTTCCTTTCTCTGGTGTGACCTCTTTGTATCCAGATGCACTGATGAATTCTTTCCCTATGGTGGGAATGTAGATAAAGAATTGTATCCATTAAAAAAAAAAAAGCTTTGAGAAGGATATTCAAACTCACTAGCAGAGCGAAAAAATGGAAATGGAAACAATAATAAACTACCACCAAAATTTTTGCAAAAATTTTTTTAAGTTGACTAATATCTAACATGGACAGTACTTTAAGGAAATGATTGAACTCACTTTGCTAGTAACTTTGAAATTGATAGCATTCTTCATTCTTTTGCAACAAATGTTCTGAATCATAAAGATAACTACCCTCTTTGTTTATGGGAGGGATTATTTAAAGGTTCTAAATTGCTAATGACATAGGACAAATAAAGTTTTCAAGTCTGTTGTATGGGTGTGGTAATGATAATTAATAATAATGTATTATCTACTTCAAACTTGCCCAAAGAACATATGTAATATGCTATCATTATTTAAAATCTGATAACTATCAGATGTGACAGGTATGCAATTAGCTTGACATAATCATTTCACAATGGATTCATATAACAAAATATCCCCTTGTACTTCATAAATTAAATAATAAATATTTGCTAACTAAAAATAAAAATGTACTGTAAGCAGGTGCAGGCACCAGGATTCCATCCCAGGGCCTGCCATACCGGCCCTGCCCCCAGGGCATGCTGAGAGGGCAAGTGAGACTGGGTGTGGTGGCATGCACCTGTAATCCCAGAGCTTGGGAGGCTGTACACAGGCGGATCACTATGAGTCCAACCTAGTAGTGAGACCCTGAACACCCTGTAGACCCTTCCCTAAAGTACAAAAAAAAAAAAAATAATAATAATCATAGCAACAAACTGAAATTATCTTACATGTCCTGTAGTACCCAAGTGGTTCAGGAATAGAAATGTGTAAGATCCTACAATGATAAGAAGATTTTTAATATATACCATAAATATTTTTAATATAATACTTACAATATTAAGTGAAAAAGTACAAATGATGGTAGTAGAGTTAGTCAGGTACCTTGTATCTCAGGAACTAGGCAGACAAAAAAAGTAAAAATGAAATTGTGTGAACATATAGATCAAATTTGGAAGTCAAATTTTAAAAATTCTTTTTGTACTATGTGGTTATGAGTAATATGTTTCCTTGTAAAATTAAATTTAATGTTGTAATTTAAAAATAAATCAGTGCTGCCATTGTAAAGATCTATA